GTCTCTTTAACTTACGGATTATGAATAGCATCCTAAGATCGTTTAATTTGATTCAGGCTTTATGTGGCGGCTAATGTTTGGTCTTGGATGTGAATTAGTCTATCATGTTTCTTGGAAGGTAGGAAGCAATCTTGATGTTTACCAAAATCCAATGTGCTCTTTTGTAGCTCAGTTTTGTAATATGTACTAATTATTGTAGACGGAACCCGAAACAAAGAGACCATATGTATGATTTTATATGCGAAGAGAAGCTCCGAATTTGAAATCGTCTCCACTCCGGTGATATGTGGCCATGGTGTGAAGGAGTCTGGAGCCATGGTTATTTCACATTCGGACATAACCGTAATTGTTAAACTAATAAAAATAAGATCAAACGTACCGGATTGATGAGAATTTTTGGTGTTCTTCGTCATGTTCTTCGTCGTATGGATCTAACAAAAAAAAAAAAAATATATACCCAGAATTTTTTTTTTTTTGTTAATAGAGAGAACCCACCAATTTTGTAGCGTTGATTGTGACATCGAATTGTTTGTCGGATGAATATAAGTCTCTAATCCGGAGACTGAAGTTGAACCCTAACAAAAACATCTATTCATAGCATAAAATTCATAAATAAAAGGTAGAGCATCACATAGCTTTTTCTTCAAAGCCAACACATCTCTCTATGTAGCCGAATTACTCTCCAGTTTGGTATATACTCAAATTTTCCAATGACTTCCTTCTCGAACCTGGAGCGTTTTTGCTTTGCCGGATATTTTTAGGATATGGCTCTTATGTATCTCTTGTGAGTCACTTGATATGTTGTTTAGGTAAAACTTTTGGTTTGAAAGAGAATGATCTACGACAAGCATAATCGGTCATTTGTTATATATGTGGCCATGTTCATATTGCTTTCTCCACAAGCAATTTTCCAGTTTTGTAGCATTCGATATTTAAATTTAAAAGCTTCAATACGTTGTATACATGTGTATGTATGTACATATATGAATTATTCTCAGTTGCACATAGTGGTTTCTAAGGGATAGATACTTGCTCTTTGTAACCCTCTCATTTTTAGTACCTATCTTCAGTGTTTACTTTGCTAAGAGCTTCTTGATAGGCATACATCTTTGCAATCTCAGATCAATATACTATAAATACATATACGATACAGTTAAGAAAATGATATTTCTCTTACAACTTTTTATATGGGTTTTATAAACAAGAGATCAACTGAAGGGTTACGCAGCGACCAATGGCGAAGGTAGAGACAAAGATACTACAATAGGGACGATAAATATGACACGAAATATACAAAGGATATGCCTGTTTCTATACCATTGAAATTTTACGTACATAACTACTTCAGAGAGCAAGATGACTTACTTGATAGGTAAGAGATATGGTAAGAGATTATATTTTTCAATTATTTGTTTCCAACTACGAAAAACTCCAGTGACATACAATCTAAAAGCATGAATATGTCATAAAATCAAGAATACAACAAAAACCAGGAAGATGGGCCCAAATTAAAGACCGAAACTGGACGTGGGGAACCCACGGATAGTGGCGGTCGGAGCGTTACAAATATGAAAGAAACGAGGAAGCGCGAATATGTCATAAAACCAAGAGTACTACAAAACCAAGAAGATGTGCTCAAAGAACGAAACTGGACGTGGGAACCCACGGACAGTGGCGGTCGTGGCATTACAAATATGAAAGAAACGAGTAAGCATGAATATATCATAAAATCAAGAGTACGACAAAACAAAGAAGATGGGTCTAAAGACCGAAACTGGACGTGGGGAGCCCACGGACAGTGGCGGTCGGGGCGTTGCTAATATGAAAGAAACGAGTAAGCATGAATATGTTATAAAATCAAGAGTACGACAAAACAAAGAAGATGGGCCTAAAGACCGAGACTAGACGTGGGAACCCATGGACAGTGGCGGCTGTCGGGGCGTTGCTAATATATTGTTGGTTTAAATATATAGATTTTTTATATTTAATTCTATTATATATATCAAGATATAAACACTAATAATTGTTTGTGATTCAAAAACACTATTAATTGTTGATTACTAATAATATATATCAAAAGTTATAGAGTTTTACCATAATTCTATATTAATGTCGTTATAAAAATTAGACTCTTGACAAAATTAAATCAATAAATATCCCTAACTTGATAACCCTAAATATTGATTATTAATTCTGGTATTAATTAACATACAACCCCGCGCTGGGCGCGGAGACCTCCCCTAGTGACTAATTAAATGCATATTATAATTACATTTAATGTTAATAATCATAATGGCACGTAAATATCTTTTAAATAATGTAAGTTTTACTATTTTCTCTACACAATACCAGTTGTACTTAATATAGATCACCATTTTTTAAAAGCAAGATTAATCTCCAATGGGCCAAATTTCTTAATTAAAAAAAAAACTTAATTATCAAATTTTATGTAATACCGAAAACAGAATAATTTTGTAGCCTGACGATATCCCCAATCCCCATTGGAGAGTGAAAAATGGCAAACCCTAGACAGTGAAAGGACGATTCAATCTTGTTGTTTCAGGCGCAAGCTACTAGTAAGCCTTAACCCTATCCTTTACCTCTTCTCTAGCTCTTTGTTAATTTATCGATTTGCCTTTCTGACTTTTTTTTTTAATTTTTATTTTTGTCATTTTCAAGAAAACGATGGAGCACGATCGAGGGAAACCCTACTCTGTTCTAACGAGAAATGAAATTAGCGTAAAGATGAAGAAACAGATCAATGAAATCTCTGACATCTTCTGCATATCAAAATCCGATGCGACCGTACTTCTTATGTATCTCCGATGGGATTCGCTTCGTGTTTCAGAGCGTTTGGGTGAAAATAAGGTGAAGTTATTGATGGATTCAGGTTTGGAATCAGTTGTGATTGATCCCAATCCTGATTCATCTAGCGAGATTAGCTTGGAGACAGATGTTTATGAGTTTGCTGATGATGATGATGATGATGAAGATTATAACGATGATAATGATGATTTGATCTCCACGCCCTTTTGTTCTCACAAGTTCGACACAACATATTGGAGAGAGTATCTTGAGAAGAACTTTTACTATGTGGAGAAAATCCAAACTGCAATCTCTTGTCCTGATCAAG